AGAGAACCGAAAACTAAAGGAGGTGATGAAGCTCCTGGAGAAAAACGCCCAAAGGTCCCAGCGTGAACGGGACCTCGCTGAATCCAACGCGTGGGACCTGGAGTACCAGAAAGGGGTCCTGTCCGAGCAGCTGCCAGCTGCGAAAGAACAACTGCGGAGCCAATCCGAACAGCTAGCCACTGCCTCCACGCAGCTGAAAGATGCTTCCGAGCAGTTGGAACAACTGCAAAAAATCTCCGAACAGAGGAAATGTATGTATGATCGACACAAGCGTTTTGCATAGTTGGATATGCTTACTTTTGGTGTCAATTGTTATACTCGTAGAGCAATTTGTGGGGCCCGGACAGCTGCGCCATGCCCTTGGACAACTCCCAGAGGAAAAGGAGAAAGAGATAGGTCGAGCAAACAAGCTGGCCGAAGAACTAGACGGTGAGTACTCCCTGATCGGGCCTTCTGATGAAGCAACTTTCTTGTTTGATCGAATTTCACAATGCTTGCAGACTACCGTTGGAGGGTCAAGGCGCAATTCGACGTGCTAGAGCAGGATGCCCGGATGCAGAGAGACAGATTTGACGCTGTAGTTGTCGCAATCACGCCAGTGCTCGACTGCGTCGATCCAGAAATAGCTCCTCGGCCCGACGGCAGGACAACACGCCCGGACGTCATCGTCGAAAGATGCAAGACGGCGTGGGAAAGCTTTAAGGGCTTCAACCATGACGTCGTTACCTCCGCCGCTACCCATGTTCTTGATGTGGTACGGTCCCACTATCCAACCGCTGACCTTCAGTCGATAGGTGGCGGGTATGCCGAAGGATTGAGCAATGCGGAGACCCAACAGCTGGAGGATGATGTGGAGGACACAGTGAAGAAGTTTGCAGGCGATATAGACTTGTTCGGCAAAATAGACGGCGGTGGCGAAGCACAATGATCGCCCTGGCGGAGATCATCTGCAATTCCTGGACGATGTAGTTAGAACGCGCGAATGCGTAAAAAACACTTATATACTTGGCATATGTTATAAATAGTATGTGCACGCAGTTTCGTTGGCGAAAAAATCTTCGTAGTTTAAATTCCGATGAGATTATGCGTAGTTGGAGTAGCATTCAAGCAGTTAGTTTGTGACCAACCCATATGGCCTCGGCTAGCCCATGCTCTATAACGGACCGAGCAATTAGTTCTGTGCTGAGCCTTCGTCCTTGGATAGCCCATAGTCCATGACGTTGAGCGCGGAGCCCCTGCACGTGTAGGGGAAACAGGCGTAACCAAGGAACCACAGTCGATCACCCATAATGCAGAGCGCGGAGCCCGTGGAACGTGTAGGGAGGGATCGGAGTCTGGGTCATTTCCGAAGAGAACAGAGATATCTTGGAGATTTAGATCGAAGTGTTCGGCGGCTTGGAGAAAAAATTTGGCGAAATACGTTGGCGTGTTGGAGTAAACGTGCTCGGTGCTTTGGAGGACACTTATTCGGCGATCTTCGGTGAAAAACATGTGTCGATGATTTGGAGAAAACGTTTTGGAGAAAAAAACCGTTTGGCGATTTTGGAGATTTTGGAGAAAATTGCTCGGCGCAATTGTGGTCGGTGATTTGGAGAAATCATTCGGCGAGTTTTGGAGAAAACCGTTTGGCGTTTTTGAAGATTTGGAGAACTTTATTCGGCGAAATCGTGGTCGGCGATTTGGAGAAATCGTTCGGCGATTTGGTATTGGAGCTCGTTAAGGAGTATCGTAGTGCTCGGCGACCGTATGTGGAGATTAAGAAGTTATGGAGAAAAGATGGAGATCCAAACTTTATTTATCACAAAGTGGGGAGTACATACCTAGAGTGTTTCAAGGATAGAAACGTATAAGGTGCTCGATGTGCCATGAATTGGGAACATCGATTACATCTAAGTCACATAGGCGATAAGAGCCTGGTCGGGTGACCTCTTTGACGACATAAGGCCCTTTCCAAGGGGAGAAGAGCTTGTGCAACCCTTCGGTCTTTTGTTTCCTACGGAGAACGAGATCGCTGATGGTGAATGAAAGACCTTTTACGTTGCGGTTGTAGTATCTCTGCAAGCCTTCTAGATATTTGGCTATGCGGACACAGGTGATCAGGCGTTCCTCCTCGGCCCTGTCGACGTCCTCTGTTTAAACCGCTGCGGCCTGCTCTTCATCATAACTTTCCACCCTAGGTGCTCGGAAGGCAACATCCACTGGTAGTACGGCCTCCGAGCCGTAAACCAAAAAGTATGGAGACACACCGGTGCTGCGACTAGCTTAAGTGCACAGTCCCCAGACCGTGCCTGGTAATTCCTTGAGCCATCTGTCCGGATGATTTTCTTCTTTCTGATATAGTCTCTTTTTAAGGGCACCAAGAATGATGCCGTTCGCCCGTTCGACCTGGCCATTGGCTCTAGGATGGGCAACGGAGACGTATTTAACGGAGATGCATCGGTCCTCGCAGAAGTCCCAGAAGTGGAGGCCGGTAAACGTGGTTTTGAGGTCGGTGATGATGCTATTCGGGAGACCAAATCTATGGATAATGTCTTCAAAGAGCTCGACTGCTTTCTTTGTGGTAGCCGAGACAAGCGGTTTGTACTCGATCCACTTGAAGAATTTGTCAATGGCGATGTAGACGTACTGGAATCCACCTGGCGCTGGCTTGAAAGGCCCGATCATATCCAGTCCCCAGCATGCGAATGGCCAGGAAGCTGGGATGGTCTGCAGTTCTTGTGCCGGTACGTGTATTTGCTTGGCGAAAAACTGGCATCCCTCACAGCGTCGAACGAGGTCTTCTGCATCGGAGATGGCCGTCGGCTAGTAAAAACTTGCACAATAAGCTTTGCCGACCAAGGTTCTCGAAGCCGCGTGATTGCCATAGGAACCAGAATGAATTTCAGAAAGTAGCTTCACTCCTCATCAGGTTACCGTCTACTAGTACGTAATGCTTACTTCGGCGAATTAGGCGTTCGGTTTTGGTTTTGTCGGCGGGTACTTCGGCGTTGGTGAGGTATTTGATAAACTGCTCCCTCCAATCGTCTACCGGCGAAGGTACCACAAGTACCAACTGCTCAGCAGGAGGAACCTCTTCAACTTCCTTATCTTCTTTAATGGATGGCGCCAGGAGATCTTGAACGAAGACCCCCGGTGGAACCGCGGCGCGAGAAGAACCAATCTTTGAAAGCTGGTCGGCTAGTTGGTTTTGATCTCATACCACGTGGTGGTACTCGATGCCGTAGAATTTTCCTTCAAGCTTCCTGATTTCAGCGCAGTATGCGTCTATCTTCTCACTGGAGCAGGACCAATCTTTGTTGAGCTGGTTGATAACCAGCGCGGAGTCCCCGTACACCATGAGGCATTTGATGTCGAGCTCGATGGCTATACGGAGACCATGGATACATGCTTCGTATTCTGCGGCGTTGTTGGAGGCCGGAAAGTGTATGCGAAGAACATACCGAAGTTTGTCCTTGGTCGGCATAATGAACATAATGCCCGCACCAGCACCGTTGATGTTAAGGGCACCATCGAAGTACATCACCTAGTGCTCGGGGCAAGTGGCGGCAATGGGTTCTTGGATCTCTGTCCACTCGGCGATGAAATCAGCAAGCGCCTGTGACTTAATGGTAGGTCTGCTTCTGAATTCGATGGAGTAAGTGCCGAGCTCAACAGCCCACTTAATGATGTGGCCGTTGGCCTCTTTGTTGCGGAGAATGTCCCCGAAAGGGAACTCAGTAACCACGGCGATCTTGTAATACTCGAAGTAGTGTCGGAGCTTGCGCGACGTGATCAGAACTTTGTATAACAGCTTTTGTACCTGAGGATAGCGAGTTTTGGGCTCATTAAGTACCTCGCTGATGAAGTAACCCGGACGCTGCGCCTTGTAGGTGTGCCCGGATTCCTCGCGTTCGACGACAATAGCTGTACTGACAACGCGAGAAGTGGCGGCGATGTAGATCAACAGAGTTTCATCTGGTCGTGGCGCCGTCATTATCGGAGGTTTTGTTAAGAACAACTTGAGCTGCTCGAAAGTTGTGTCAGCCTCCTCCGACTAGGAAAAACGCTCGGTGGCCTTAAGGAGCTTGAAAAAAGGTAGCCCTTTTTCGTCGAGGCGCGAGATAAAGCGGCTTAACGCAGCCATGCAGCCTGTAAGCTTCTGTATATCCTTGACGCATGTCGGCCGTTTCATGCTGGTGATGGCGGAGACCTTGTCAAGGTTAGGTTCGATGCCTCGAGCGCTGACGATGTAGCCCAGCAGTAAACCGGATGGAACTCGAAAGATGCACTTTGAAGGGTTCAGCTTCCATCGGTATTTGTTCAGGTTGGAGAAAGTTTCTTCAAGGTCGGCGATAAGATTGTCGGCGGTTTTGGTTTTGACGACCACGTCGTCGATGTAGGCTTCGACATTGCGGCCGATCTGTTGGTCGAGGCACATCTGGATAGCCCTTTGATAGGTCGCCCCAGCATTTTTGAGTCCGAAGGACATGATGGTGTAGCAGTATGCATCGAAAGGCGTGATGAACGACGTCTTGATCTGGTCTTCTTCCTTGAGGGAGATCTGATGATAGCCGGAGTAACAGTCAAGAAAGGAGAGGAGTTCGTAGACGGCGGTGGAGTCTACAACCTCGTCTATCCGAGGCAAGCCGAAGGGGTCCTTAGGGCAGTGTTTGTTAAGATCAGTATAATCAACATACATTCTCCATTCTTTATTCTTTTTTTGAACAAGAACAGGATTAGCTAACCAATCTGGATGATACACTTCTTTTATGAATCCGGCAGCTAAGAGCCGTTTTATTTCTACCCAAGTGAGATGGAATCAAACCATGGAAATACCCTATGAGACCAGATAGCCCATCAGATGTGGGCTGCCTACAATGTGTAGGATAGTAGTGTTTGGAATGTAATTTATGAGTTATGAGTTATGTATTTCTGTGTGATGCAACATTCTATAATAAATTCTCCAATACATTCTATAATATTTTATGAGTTATGTATTTCTGTAATTATTTCTTGCAGCAATGTCGAAGGCAAGGGCTACATGGAACTCTAGATATGAGAAAGGGATTGTTGACATTATGAGGGACCATGTGAACATCCCCTTGTTCAGGGGTCAGAATGGATGGAGTGGAGAGGGTTGGAGAAGTATCTTAGAGAAGTTTACCCAAATGTATCCTTTAGCACGCTTCACAAAGCAGCAGCTACAAGAGAAGGAAAAGGAGCTAAAGGGTAGCTGGAAGGCGATACATGTAGCGTTAAAGGATAGTGGTGTTGGTTGGAATGACTCATTAGCCATGGTCATTGCGGAACCAGAAAAATGGAAGAAACTGATCAATGTAAGAATTTTTCACTGAAGCAAAAAATTGTTGCCATATTCTGGTTGCAAGTACTAACTATGCTGTTGTCTTGGCATTAAATAGGATAATGAAAAAATGGCTAGGTTCCAGAAGAAGTCGTTTCCTTTATATGAAGACTGTACATCATTGTATGCTGGTATGTTATTTGAAACTTCTCTCTAAGGTTATGTAGCCTTATTGTTCTACTTGAGAGTAAAGCACCATCTAACTTGATAGTATGACTGTGCACTGCTTCCAGTTTAAGTTATAGTATGCCTGCACTTGAAGTATGATTGTGCACTATTTTTTTGCATAGGAAGTGTTGCTACAGGAGATCTAAACTTCACATCAACTGAGCACTTGCAGCCTGCTCCTCTTGTTTCTATTGCTGCTCCAGCTGCTCCGGCTGCTCTGGCTGCTCCGGCTGCTCCTGCTGCTCCAGTTGCTCCGTTGCAGTGTCTGATAGCACAAGTCCATGTGCTACTTTTGATGGGCTAAACGTCTCAAGTGCACGCAATGAAGCTCAGTCTGCACCTTCCAATCAAGATTATGTGCAAGGATAGAGTGGTGGGAGAAAGCGTAAGCAAAGTCATATTTGCGCTGCTATTGATGGTTTTGTGCAGTTTAAGAAGATGCAAACAAATAAAACCATGGAAGCTCTGAATGAAAAGAAGAAACAAGACGAAGAATTTTCAGTTGACAAGTGTCTCGATGAAGTGGATGCAATGGAACTTACTGATGTAGAGAAGGCGTATGCTATGAATATCTTCAAATCTGAGATTGACAGGGAGGTATTCATGAAAATGAAAAATAAAAAATGTTCGTTTGATTTGGCTCAAACAGCAGATTAGGTAATGCTTAGCTGCCACTAGATTAATTTACTTTGGTATGCCTTAGCAGCTAATGCTTTTCCTTGTGCTTACTTACAGTGGTATCAGTGGAGGCATTGCTGGCGGAGGCAATGTTTGAATTGAGAAGAAAAACACAGCTGCAGTCATTGTATGCAGGTATATTATTTGAACAACAGCTTGCACTTGCCAACAACTATGACTGCCGATTGATCTTATTTTTTATTAGCCTAGGAATTACTTGTTCTGCGTAGTATGCTACTACTGCTTCTATATGTGTGGATAATTAACATATCTGTAGCAGAAAACTTGTCTGCTTATCCTTTGTGTTGTTCCCTTTTTTTTTGTGAATCATGAATTGGCATATATGAGTAGGAGGGATGGACGGGTAGATAGAGATAGAGGACATTTATGAGCCGTCATGAATTGGCAGCTATGAGATGTTTAAAGTTTTCAGATATGTCAATGGAAATTCTTTGTGAATCATATACCAATTCTCACGTTTTCTTTGTGAATTCTTTGTGAATCATATACCAAGTTTAAAACTAGTGTTACAAGCCCTTCAAGTATTCCGGGAACCATATACTAATTCTCACGTTTTCTGAGTTCTGTAAAACTACGTCTGTCAAAAAATGTAGGTGCATCAGGTGGAGGTTATAATGACATTCTAGCAACGTGCTCTGAGTGTAACCTACGTCGTGGCTTGATGAATTAATGAGAGCCTTAGTTCTCAGTTTACTTCCTACGCCTATATAGATAGCTGGCACACTCTTGGTAGGGGGTGTACGTAGAATCACTTGCTTGCTGGTTCAACAGAGACAATAGTATCCCAAATAACGAAGATGTTATGAGCACAAGAATATAGCATGGCAATGGGAATTCAGTGGCGACCCAGCCATCAAAGGATTCTTTTAGCAGTCATCAAAGCTATGAGATTTTTTTTGTGAATCATGAATTGGCATATATGAGGAGTCATGAATTGGCATATATGAGTAGGAGCAGACATTTTTTTGTGTGAATCATGAATTGGCAGCTATGAGATAGTTCATATCCGTTTCTATGATTAATTCAGTACATATCTTTTTTTGTTTACATTTAAATGACTTTCAGTGAACTGAGTTATCATCTACTGTTTGACTGTGTTAGCATGTACTGATTTTCAGATATTGATTACTTTCAATGAATAAGATTTTTAGACGATGATGTATTGACTACAATTGTTGACACTAATCTGTGACCATCCTCAAATTAACTGAAGTTTCCCTTAATTAGATTTGTCATGCAACACATTGTTTCTGTGTTTCTGTTAGGCTGTTAGCCTAGGTTGACACTTGTTATTTATCTAAGCATCTACGTAGTTCTGAGCACTTACCTTCCCTGAACCAGCAACCTTTTCTTCCTTGTACAAAGGTATGCAATTTCATTTCAACAAAGTTTACTAATAAATTAGGGTACGACATTCATCAATGTTTTGAGCACTTACCTATGAATTAGTCCTGTAGGCTTGTAGCTGCAAGCTATTTTACCTATGAATACTATTGTGCGTAGTAATGACAGTATTTGCTGTGGTATGCCACATATTTACCCTTGGTTCAAGTTGATGTATCCTAGCAGCACTAGATTAGTTTACTTTAGGTATGTCTCTAGCTACTAATGTTTTTCCTTATTTACCTGCAGGGCTCTTGGAAGCAAATGTATGATTTGAGAAGAAAATTATTTTTACTAGCTGCAGTGCCTATGTGAGAAGCTTATGCAAAGGACTTCTTTTTTTCTCTTGAACACTGCTTATGAAAGGAGTTAAACCATAATTTTTTTGATTACATGTCTTGGATATCTGGATGGATTTGATCTGTGATTTGGTAACGAATGGATTAGCTAGGTTGAATTTGCCACTTGAATTAAATTTTCTATGTATTGAACTATGTCAAAAAAAATTATCATTCCATATTCTTGATGCGGGCTTCTCATGTTACTCAATTATTTGCATTATTTTGGTTTTTGTGATTTTCCATGCATTATTTTCATGAAAATGTTGTGGTTGACATTAGTCTGTGGTGGATTCCTCATATTATTCCAAAAAAATCTGATTTTTCTTGATTTTCTAAGACATCAATGCAAACCTGTTGCAAAGCTGACATCGATCTGTGATAACATCAACGCAAAGTGACATCGATCTTATGAATATTGGTATTGTTTCTGGTTCCACAAAATCAGAGAAAGTGGGAGACGTTCATGATATTGTGCTGCCAAATGGCGACAGGGAAACTCCCACACAGGTGGTAATCTTCCGTGGGGCAGAGGCGGGAATAAAAAATCCAAATAATTCCACGTGCAGGGTTATTTGCCCAGGGTTAATTGGCCTCCGCTGCCAAAGTAGCCCTTACGGGTCGACGCTTGAACCGACCGGCAATCGGACGGACCAGATCACCTGATCGCTTGATCCAACGGCTAGCGGGTTATCGGGTGACGTGGCACTATCGGGTGCCCGCTTTTGGAAACAGGATTCCTATATAGAGATTGCAACGGCCTACAAGTGTGCTCATTTTATTCTTTTTTTCGAACACGGCGTGAATCTTTATCTAATCTTAGATCATAATAAAGTTGAACAATAATTTGATGGCTTTTTCTTATATATACAAAACCATAGTTTGCATTGATGATTTTCTCCTATATTTCATATGTCTGAATTTTAAGATGATTTCAGGCAACACTCTTATACTACCAATTAAAACAAGTAAATTATCACTTTTGTGATTTGTCATTTGTCTTTGTGTCATAATATATCAATTTTTATCCTTGTCTGACTATAGAAATAGTTGTAAATTGTTAAATTGCCAATAAATATCAGATTTTGTTAGGTTTGTGATTTTGTTTAACATTTTTTTTATTCTCGGCACAAAAAATTGTAGATTGTATCTAAAAATTACAACTTTAATATGAAATATATGCAATAACCGTCGCCTGAAAGAAAACTAAAATTCAGGCACACTGCGCTCAATTGTCATAAACTTAGGTCTTATTTGGATCTAAGAAGATGATAGTTAGCTGCTAATATTTACCTCCTTAAATCCAAATAAGTCTAGCAAATAGTTTAGCTAATTGTTAGTTGAGTACATAGCTAATAATTATTTCACTAGTTAGACCAAACTAGCTAATAGAAGCTAATATTAGTTGTCACCTATTTAGCTTGATAGTTATTAGCAACTAATGGATCCAATCACACCCTTAGGTGTTTGACTCGGGTAGCGAGATTTTTATTTTTAATTTTGGGACGGAGGGATAGCTCCAATCCTTCTATATGATGCCAAGATCAAGTTGACACTTGAGCACACCAAGAAACAAGCTACCGATGCCACGCATCAAACACCCTACGTCAGGTAAAAGTCAGGTTGCAATCCGGTGAGATTTAACGAACCGAGACGGCCGGGACATCCGCCTTGGAACTCTAAAAAAAAGGTCAGGTGGCAATCCAAACAATCACCATGCCTACGAGTACTAAAACCTTGCTGCTATGCCTGATTCCATGGTTCGTTTACCAGCTCCAGCTTCACCAATTCTCTCCTGTATCGGCTGCGACAACAATGGCCGGCAAGATCGAGATCTTCACCGTGTACCAGCACGACAGGCTGAACGAGACCGGGTACGTCGTGGTCACCGGCGACGAAGGTGCCCCCTCCAGCGACACCACCAGGCCCTTCGGCAGCATCTACGTCTTCCGCGACGACCTGACCCTGCACAACGACAGCGATTCCCCCGTGGCCGGCGTGATGGAGGGGACGGCCACCACGACGAACTTCGACGGGCTGCACAACCTGCTGGCGGCCAAAATCTCGCTCCACCACCGCGGCTACAGGGGCTCCGTCTCTGTCCTCGGGGGCTCCCACGACGTCGGTGTATCCGGTGGTGGGCGGCACCGGCGATTTTCTTTAGGGCCCGTTCGGTTACCGGGGAATGAGGTCCCGAAACTGTTCCGATCAGGAATATCTATTTAATTTGTATGTAACAGAGTTGAGCGGGATTCGTTCCGGGACGGAAATGACTCAAACGAACGAGCCCTTACACGTAGGGGTACGTCCAGTCGTCGCCGGTGGACTCGATGGCCCAAGGGTCATGTACAAGTTGGAGATTCACCTGTACGGGCCACCGTACGCCAAGTTTGCTCGGCAGAACTTCAAGTCTTTTACACGTATGCCATTATAAAATATTATAATTGTCTATAAATCATTAAAAAATTCGAACGGTCACAGGTGTTACTGAGCTAAACTTTTTTTTTTGTCTTCTACACCGTTCCATCCACGTTGACCTCTGATGATGTCAAACTGCGATACCAAAAGTCTAAAATACCCTCAGTCTAGGAGCCACACAAAAGTTCGTTGTTCCTCTTGTGCCACCAACTTCCGCAGCACCTCGAACGTGGACGCTGGCTCACGGTTGTCGTGGCCGCCGCTCATGTGTGAGCTTATGCTGTCCGTTGAGTGTTTGACGAGATTTTGTACAAAAGATTTCTCACATGTGTATGCATATATATTTGCTATTAATTAATGAGAAGCATTTTGTACTACTTGAGGAGAAGAAAAATAAATAGGCAATATGTGCATGTATATTCACGTGCGCTAATTAAATGGAGAAGAAAATAAGAAGCAAGCAAACTAGCAACTAGCTAGCTGCATGAAAACAAACGTGCATACCATACATGCTAGCAAATGCGTATCTGAACTCACGCTGCACATATCTGGACAGCTTTATGGCGTCCATGTATTTTTCTCTAAGTAAGTCGTACGTCGTATGTATACGCGGAGCGATATACGGCGCGAGAATTGAATCCGCTGCCAACATATTGTTAGAAATTTAGATATTTTTATTATCAGTTTAATCCAGAAATATAATATTAGCAGGTTTGTGACGGCATATATGTGCATGTGTATATTCTTTATGAAACGAGGCATAACACTAGCATGATAGATGACATACATATCGATCATAAAGATACAAAATCGATGAAAAGAAGAGAGATTAGCAAGGTACGAGCTTTATGTGATAGGGCCCCATGCGAAGGCATGTGAGCGCTCCGATCGCACTAATCGTATAGCATAGTGCGTTGCTCAAGTCGCAGGATAGCAATGCATGTATGAAGATGTTCACGACGCGCGCTGGACGAGCGGATCACTCGGAGAAGTAGACGCCTTCGCCATTTGTGGAGACAGCGGATCCAATATTCAGTATGGAAGAAGATGGGCTTTTCGTGGATCGCGCCCGCGCCCGGTTGACGCTCACCCGTGCCGCACGAATTTCAAAGTTGCCGGCGATCATCGAGCACCTGGCCCGTTACACGGACACGGCGCGCTTCCCCGGAGCACAAAAGGGACGCGGGTCGTGGTTCGAGAAGGAAACGACGCGCCGAGGCGGTCCGCCCGGCGGGAGAGCTTGTGACCGGGAGGGAACGACAGCGGCGGAGAATCTGCGGAGGAGACCAGGGAAGCGGAAGGGAATGCACGATGTCGATGACGTCGATCGCCTCCACAATCGAGAGCGTAACTCTCGTGATTATGTGGATTTAAGTGGCAAAAGCTCCGGTCACGCCCTGGCGTGCAGGCCTCGCCCGCGAATCTGCCCTTGGACGTGGCCCTGGTTTTTGAGCCACGCCTTTATCATTTTCTCCGCTTATCAATTTAGATGAATAATTCCTCCACCACCATCGTCGTCGACGTACGAGCCAGGGAAGGAGGCCTCGTTCAAGGAAAAATCTCGGTGGCTATAGTATAACGAGAGCTATACAACAAGAATACGCGGATTACTGCCCGACGACCATAGAGTTTTATTTGATTTATTAAATATTATATATGCAAGTCCATATTATATCCAACACATATGAGCTAGAACACGAACTGGCGGGGGCATGGCACTAGTTTGATGGATGGCTTGATCGATCATACGAGCGAGAAATCGGGTGAAAAAGAAGAAGCTAGCAAGTGTACGAGCTTTATGTCATACGGTCTCATGCATGTATGTGAGCGTTCACGATGTGCTAAGCTAGTATAGCAATGCAAGTGCTTCCGGCTAGAGACAGTATAGCAATGCATGTATGTGAGCGTTCACGACGCGCGCTGGAGGCCGGCCCGGCTCGGACCATTCTAGAAGCCTTCGCCATCTACGCACAGCTTGTAGATATTCAGGCTGGCAGAGTCCGGCTTTTGGAGATCGGCGCCCGCGCCCGGTTGACGGTGGCCGTGCCGCCACGGCGTTCGTTTGCCGGCGATCATCGAGGACCTTGGCGGCCACACGAACACGGCGCGCTTCCCCGGAGCACGCGGGACGCGGGTCGCGCATTCGAGAAGGAAACGACGCGCCGAGGCGGTCCGCCCGGTCCGAGGTTGTGGATGACGAACGACAGTACGACACGGCCTGCACGACCAGAAACAGCTTCTGGCCACGCATACTGTTGCTGACGTCGATCGCTGTCACGAGGTCGAGCCGCGCTCGCTTCTCGCCGCCGACCAAAGCCGCCGCCGCCGGCTCCGGTGCCCTGGCGTGCAGAGCACCGGGAATCTGCCCTTGGACGCGCCCTGGTTTTGAGCCACCTCGTTGTCGGCCGCCCAGTCCAGGTCTTGCGCCACATCGGCGCTCTCCTCCACCACCTGTTCGTCGTCGTCGTACGAGCCAGGGAAGGAGGCCTCGTGGACGCCAGGAACACAATCACGAACCTTTGATCGGTGGCTATCCTAAGAAAACACGAGATCAATCGAATGAACGCGAACAAGAATATGCGGATTGGCAACTGCCCGGAGGACGACCGGGAGACAGTGCCCTTTTTCACTGTTGATAATATGGAGTACAGAATACGATTACAATGTATAAGTTACTTCTAGCTAGTGGGAGGTCTCAGCTATTTATACCATAGCTGTTACAACAAGTGGTTTAATAAATAAACGATAACACAAAGATACAATGCGCACACAGCGCAACTGCCGCTCCACCGTGACGTCGTGGGCGCGCTCACCGCGCACCGGCTCCGGCTGGATTTGAATCATCGCTTTCCCGCCTCCTGCTGACTTGGCTAGACCACCTGACTCAGCAGACGCGTGCACAAGCTGGATTAACCCAACAGGTCTCGCGGGTGGAGCATGGCTGGCATGCGATGCCGCCATGGCCTTGGCACGTGATGCTGTCCAGCGGCCCCGCCGCCACGGCCTAGCCCTGCTGGCGCAAGCGCAAGCGGCCAGGAGCGTTGTAACCCTGCCGCGGCTGCGTCCCATGAAGCATCCGACCTCATGTGCCAGTGCGTCACGCCCGCCCGCGGACGTCCCCTCCGCCGGCGCCGGCGGAGTCGAGCAACGCGGCCACCGTGCGCGGAGGGCGCCGGCACCGCGAGCACGAAGCACGCCAGCTCCTCCAGCGTGGCGGCATGGGAGGCCGCAAAGTGGCAGACCCAAGACGGAGCCAGGAAATGAGTGCATCTGCGACGAAGGCTCGGGCGTCCATGTGCCTGAGCGCAAGAGAGAGGACACAGATGTGGGGTGGGGCATTTTAGACATCTTTATTGGGTTGGCCACATGTCAGAGCTGTCAAACGGTGGAAATCTAACAGAACGTGGACGGGGTGGCGTGGAAGATAAAAACAAAATTATCGTAGTGGCACCTATAACCGCTCGATTTTTTATAGTTTATAAGTAATTGCAACCTTTATAAAACTCTCTGGAACTTCGGCATGTGCAGCGATATCATCTTTGCAGCTCTCAATCTCTGGTCTTATCGTTAATTTTGGAGTACAGGTACAGTGAAGTTGCAGGAGTACAATTTGACAGCGGCAGTGTGGCACTATACAGCGGCGTATTTTTGTCCCTATCAGAAGAGGGCTTTTACTGGTGTGGTGGTGCAATCAGAGCAGCACGCGAAACGGAGCAGCCATCAGTTTTTGGTGGCAAAGCGATAGGACGCGTACGATAGCGTGGCGTTGGACCAGCTATGGTGGATGAGCTCCGCCTCGCACCCTTCTCCAGCGGCGCCGAGCGCGACGTGCAGCGGGTAGAAGTGGTCGGGCCGCGGGTGCGCCTCCTCCGCGTACGGCGCCTTCTCCTGGTAGCGCTTGACGTCCTCGTGCCTGCCGCCGAGGAGGGACTCCTTGAGCCACGCGTCGAACTCGGCGGCCCACCGCGGCGCCGCCTCGTGGCTGGTCGGGGCGAACGTGCGCAGGATGCGGCGCAGGTTGTGCGTGGCGCTTCCGGAGCCGAAGATGAGCACGCCGTCCTCCCGCAGCGGCGCCAGCGCCTTGCCGAGGTCGTAGTGGTACGCGCCGTCCCGCGCCGTCTGCACCGAGAGCTGGAACACGGGGACGTTGGCCTCCGGGTACATGAGCATCAGCGGGACCCACGCGCCGTGGTCCAGCCCGCGGCGGCGGTCCTCGGCCACCGGCCCGAACCCGGCGTCCTCGAGGAGCTGTTTGGCCCTCTTGGCCACGTCCGGCGCGCCCGGCGCAGGGTACGTCAGCTGTGCGTACGTACGTATATGGTCACATTGTCACGTACTTCAGTAGAGGCTCCTGAGCCTCTCCGGTTTCCTCGAAAAAAAACATTGTCACGTACGTACGTGATCTCTGTTCGGAGCCAGTGAGGCACGGTGAGCAGGGGATCGTTGTACCTTGTACATTTGGTCGGGGAAGCCGTAGAAGTCGTAGATGGTGTCGTTGGTCCCGTGGATGACGTTGACGGCGGGGGCGTCGGTCTCCCAGTGGCCGGAGACGACGAGGATGGCGCGCGGCGGCTGCGGCCCGGCGAGACCGGCGGGTACCCACGACTTGAGGAAGTGGCGCGCCGGCAGCGAGTCGTCGATGGAGAGCGTGGGAGAGCCGTGGGAGATGAAGAACGTGTCCATGGCCTTGCTGGAAAGGATGGTGGTTGACCGTCACGGGCAGGGACGCTGCTAATAGCCTATACAACCTGAGGTTGCGGGGTTGCTGCGTTGTGTCGAGACTTGGGACTGAGGAATGCGATTCTCTTGCGACAGGATATATCTTGCGCTACATGAGTGACTAAGGCGCTTGTTTAGTTTTTTCCTTAAAGTTTACTCCCCGTCTTATCAAAATATTTAAATATATGCATTGAGTATTAAATATAGACTAAAAAATAACTAATTATATAGTTTACGACTATTTTGTGAGACAGATCTTTTAAACCTAATTAGCCCATGATTTGACAACGTGTTGCTACAGTAACACATGTGCTAATGACTGATTAATTAAGCTTAATAAATTCGTCTCGCGGATTATTGATGGATTCTGTAATTTGTTTTTTTATTAGTATCTGAACACCCCATGCGATACCCCATGTGACACCCGATGTGACGCCCAAAACTTTACACCCTGAATTTAAACAAAGCCTAAAGTTTAAGAGGTGTCTCATCGGATGTCACATGGGATATCGTATGAGTTGTTTAGATACTAATAAAAAAACAAATTACAGAATCCGTCAGTAATCCGTAAGACGAATTTATTAAGCATAATTAATCCGTCATTAGCACATGTTTACTGTAACGCCACATTGTCAAATTATGGACTAATTATGCTTATAAAATTCGTCACGTAAATTAATCTCAATCTATATATTTAGTTTCGTAATTAATCTATATTTACTATTTCATATATGTATAAAAATCCGATGGGACCACAACGTTTATGAGGTGAACCAAACACCTCCTTACGCTAATTCTTGTGGGGGTTCGCAGTGTGACATCTGACCTGACCAGATCGAGCTTGTTGGTTGGTCTGGCTGTAGAGTACCTACTCCTTGTGGCGTGTAGTTTCGTAAGCTATGACGCATGCAACGAACCTATATTTTGATTCGCAGGAGGAATCGGCCTGATCAACTGGCCGGCCGACAGGCGATTGCGTTTGGTAGGCGGATGGATATATGGAATCTTAACCATCCCTAAAATCTTATTGCCAACGAACCGGATATAGACCTTGTTTAGATTCAAGTTTTTTCGCTCTCTCTCCATCACATCAAATCTTTGGACACATGCATAGAGTATTAAATGTAGATAAAAAAAATAAATAATTACACAGTTTGATTGTAAATTACGAGACGAATCTTTTGAGCCTAGTTAGACCATAATTGGACAATAATTGTCAAATACAAACGAAAGTGCTACAGTGTCAAATACTGATTCCTAACCGCGAACCAAACATCAACAGTGCTAGCACGCTGCCCTTAGATGGATGCCCACACGCCTACACTTCGCGTACCGCCCGAAACCACGCGGCGTTTGCGCCCCCGCTCGACCCCATGTGGCGTCTGCGCCCTGCCCAACCCCTCACGCCCCCTCTAGCTGCAGCAATAGGTGAATCACGTTGTAACATGTGCAACACACGATCTACTTTTAAAACATCTAGTTGCAACACTTGCAATATATCGTCTGAAGATAGATGAAACACTTAAAACATGCGTTTAAAATATTCGTAAAAACACTTGAAAACCATTGCAAACATACGCAACATCAAAATAAAACACTTGCAACATATATATGAAACATATGCAACATCCAGATAAACACACTTGCAACATGCGTCTGAAAAACAGATGAAACACTGGGAACAGATGTTTGCAACATACGTATACAACCACTGCAACATATGTAATATCCCGATCTACTTTTGTAAAATCCATACGAAACACTTGCAACATATCTCTGAAATATCTAAAACACTTGAAACATACGCTTGCAACATGCGCTTTCAGCGCAACATCTACTTGCCGCCTTGGACGAATATGGAGGCTCGTCGACGCGGAGCTCGATGCCGCGGAGTGGCGCGCAGCTCCAGTGGAAAAAAGCGGACGGCGCTGTGGAGAACGCCGCAGCAAGCGAATGGCCCGGTGGAGAGGAAGGATGGGAGGCGGTGGCGCTAAAGCGTGATGGAGAGAGGGTACGGTGGCCGAACAGGTGCGGTGGAGAGTGTCGCGGCGGCATGGTCACGCTGGAGCATGCCGTGGCGGTGCGAACGCGAAGGTGCAGTGAGTGGAGAGGAACGGACAACGGGTTCACGAGCGGATATAGTTGTAGGCGAGTGGACGAGCGCATACACAAGTGAAGTGTGTTGGGGATGTTGGGCTGATATGGTGGCCCACCAATAGAAACGTCCGGACGGGATGGACCTCCTTAGCATAGAATTACCAAAGAGTGAGAGGAGAGAGCGAGCCAGCGATACGAATTTATTAGGTCCTAGTGGTACAAACAAGTTTGGATTGCCGAGAAATTTGCAAAAATAACCCATACGCCATTATAAAGCTTGTTCCGCTGGCATTGCTGCACAACGGCAGCGGCTGTAGCTTTTTGGGCCATTATAAAGCTTGTTCCGCTGGCATTGCTGCACAACGGCAGCGGCTGTAGCTTTTTGTTTTGTGTATAGAGAACTGTAGTTATTATGAGGGGATGCTACAGCAGCAACCGCTGCCGCTACCACAGCTATCACAACCAAACAATGCCCATAGTATATTTTGTTGTGAAGATTCACCTTTTTTATAAAAAGTACCCTCCCATACATGTCATTGTGAGCTGCTAGTCTATTATCTTTTTTAGCAACAAAGTGGACAGTGGGTGGGCATTTGCAACAAAATATCATATATTGGTGGTATATCCAGATCCAAGTGACATGTGGAATGTTTTTTTGTTGTCAATTTCTCCTAGATTTTTTGAGCCCATATGACGATTTACTATAA